GAGAGAGAGAGAGAGAGAGAGAGAGAGAGAGAGAGAGAGAGAGAGACTATTCTGGAAATATTTTATGTACCACAAAATTTGCCCTCTCAACCTCTAAAGTTCAGTGGTTTGAGAGTTGTGCAACTCTCACCATTTTTTTTTGAAGATCTATTTATTTATGCATACAGGACTGGGGTACAGGCCAGAGGCACAGTTTGACCATTCTAGGTTTTCTTACAGATTTTAAGCTTTTACATGGTGACCATGGCGAACATGGATTAAAGTGTACATTTCCTGCCATGGTCTAGAAAATCGACAACTCTGGAAATAACTATGGGCATTTTAGTAGTGGTGTGACACCTTTCCATGTGAAGGACTCCTAGGGCTGGCATTCAGTAGGCTTGCTTGGTAAGCGGAGCCCTGCCTCCCAGGGCTCCCGGGAGTGCAAGGCTTCTGGGGAGACGCTCCAGAGATGTGTGGACGTTCCAGTCACATCTCACACAGAACACATTTTCCGCTCTTGGCCTGCAGGTGAAACTCAGTCATGCTCAGAGGTGCTTTAGGCTGCGTGCCATGGTAGAATACAAACTGGTTGGGTCAGGTTAGCTTGTTTACAGGAGGATCTTGAAATGGAGCACGCTGCTTTCATTCTAGCTGCGACACAGGAAAGCTCTCAGAAGCGAGGCTGGGGCCAAGTGCTGAAGGCAGGCGCCATTAAAACCAGGCAGACAGGGGGCTTGAACCGAGAGAGGCTGGGCTCCAGCCGCTGACAGAGTGGGTTCTGGGAAACCTTCGGGCTGAAATCTGGTCTCCAGGCTGGGACCTGAGTGAGTGACTCAGGCCTGTGGCACTGTGTCCCCGCCGAGCTGATCGCGGAGAACACGAACTCCTGCCCGCATAACCTGCTTGTCCTGCTCACAGCCTTCCAGCTGCCCAGAAAGATGTCACGCGCCGCCCCCGTCTCCCACCTTGGGTCAAGGTCCCTGCCATGGGCCGAGCCAGTCTCCTCCACGCCTTGCCTCAGGAAGGCGCTGCCGCTGCCAGGGCTGTGCTCCTGGACTTTGGCACCAGGAGCCAGAGAAGTTTCACCTCTGCCTGGGCTACCCAGAAGCTCCCGCCTTAGCCCAACTTCCTGTGTCACACAGGTGCCCTCCCTGTTGCCGCCCTTCTTTTCACCTGGTGTTAGCTCTGTTCTCTGGGGTAGGATTAATCGGATCACTCAAATTTGCGCAAATTTGGAAAAATGAATGAAATAGTGCACATTGTATTGAAACATAGATGAGTGGGCAGGTACAAAACTTTCTGAAACAAACTGGTTAAAGCATAGTATTTGTTTCTAGGGCTTTTTTTAGGCCAAGAAGGGTTGTGGACAGCTCCCCAGGTAGTTTAGTTTTTAAACCGCTGAGTCTAGTTGCCAGTAGAACTCAGTGTTTTTTGTTTGCTTTTACATTGTAATTCTTTATAATCTTAAAGTTATTTTAGGTAAGTTTTCTAATTATTTCTTTGCAGATGATAATGCTTGACCTGAACAGTTACAATTAAGGTAAGATTTGTGGCCTACCTGCTTAACCTTATTCATATTTCTTTACAGAATTTTGCCGAGTGGCTACAGCCATGTTTTAACTTGCTGAAGATTGTCGCCTTTGGGCAGTTGTCCCCAAGTGTGGCGTATAAAAGATTTCACGTTGCATTGTAAGGTAAATTTCAAAGCCAACATAATAGGATACTTTTACTCATGTAACACTGGAGAAGTTTTTTTTTTTTACAAAAGTTTATTTTTACATCATTTTGTACATTTTTTTTCCATCTCAATTGTAATCCCTGAGTGTTTCCCATCACCGAGTCACCCATGTGCCATCACCATAATCTCGTGCACTTCCCTCCCCACCCCCCCGTTTTTGATCCCATTCCCCACTCCACCCCCACAAAATGTCTCTGGTATATGGCTGTTCATCATTATCATTATTTTCTCGCCTGTTCCCTTATATTCCTGCTATGAGAGAAACCATTCGGTATACTTCCTTTTCTTTCTGGCTTATCTCACTAAGCATGATCTTTTCCAGCTCCATCCAAGTTGCTGCAAAAGACATGTGTTTCTCTTTTTTGGTTGCTGAGTAATACTCCATTGTACATATGTACCACATCTTTCTAATCCAGTCATCTACTTTTGGGCATTTGGGCTGCTTCCATGTTTTTCCAATTGTAAATAAAGCAGCAATAAATATGGGGGTGCAGGTATCTTTTCCAGTCAACACTGGAGAAGTTTTAAATGATTTGAAGTTAACTTTGCGAGCTGCTGTAGGACATGAGATGTGAGATGGCTGCTATAATGAGCATCACCGCCAGGAAGGTTTCTCGCAGCTCCCAGTTAGAATCATGGAGGTGCTTGTGTGTATATTTGTTGTTTTAGCAAATACCAACATACTCCCAAATAGGGTAACGGGAGGCCCCAAATTGTAGATGGGCGTTGTAGAAAATTATACCGTTTTCTGTGTATAGGTCTCAGACCCCAAATTTGTTTGATGAGAAAAATGATACAAACTAGGAAATCCCACATTGTTATGAAAAAAAAAAAATCACAATGTCCTGGTAAAATTGTAATGGCACATCTGGAGGAGTCCTTGACTTACATTGGTAGATGTGTACAGCAGTCATCTGGGCGGGGCTGTCAGATTGCACATTGTGGCTCATAATTTGAAGCAAAGGTCCTAGCAGTTCAGTGCTGAACAATAAACTTTGTGTCCAGTAAGGCAGCTAGAGACTTACTAAAATAATGGGTTAAGTGATCGCCTGGAATAATGCCTGTCTGTTCCGCCCTCCTAACACCACAGGGAACGTCTGTGTTTCTGTATCTCGAGCACTGTGTGACAGGAACAACCTTGGCATGGGGCTTCTGGGGAGGGTTCCCTGTGTTGTGGAGGACCGAGCTGAATGGCCAGGTGAAGGCAAGCTGGGAGGACCACTTGGGGGGGGGCGGGCAGCAAGTGTCAGATGGCAGGTGGGACGGGAATTGGAATTCCCGTCCATTTCACTGCACTTCAGAGTGGCCTAACTGAAAAGCTGAGCAGGGAGGGTGGCCATGTGAGGCAGGCCAGGGAGAATGGCTAACCTTAGAGGTAGAACTTAGACCTGACTCTCTGGAGATTTACTGAGGATGTTCAGGAAGGGACGAGACACAGCCGTCCCCATGGCAGAATAGTTCATCTGTCTTTTTCACTGTTACTGTTTTTGTGTAAGTTGAAGTTATGTATGTACAACTCCAAGAAGTTAAACGAAGGGACGGTTTAGGTGAGTGTTATCTATGTCAGGCAGTGAAGGCCTTGCGCTTGTTTGATTTCTTTCTAACATCAGTTCAGTGTGTGGGCATTGGGCAGAGCAATATATTGTGTTGAAATTGAAGAGGTCTCCAAGAGGTATATACCTCGATTGCTTCACACGCCCGCCAATTTGCATTGTATTAATCACAGTGGTAATTGCTGTGGCAGTAATCTAGAAGAGCCAGTTAGATTAGGGACAAGCTGCTGCAGGTGCAGCCAGAAGAGCATCATTGGAAATCCAGGAAGAGCTCTTACGCACGGCGGCTGTACTGAGCTGCGGCTCCCAGGTCACCTTTGTGACAGCGGGACTGGCCAGGCAAAGCCCCGGAGCTTTGCGGACTCATGCCCACGAGCACCTCTGTTCCACGAGCGCCGCGTAACCATTTCCATGTAAAGCTGACCACAGTTTGGCCATGGAGCTGTGTCAGAATCAAGTGAAATGTAAAGTTGTGCTCCTTGCTTCCAGCCCCGCCCTTCCGTGCGGCTGGCGGTGGTCAGCTTGGATGGCACTGGTCAGCTTGGATGGCACGGTGGAGACGCGCTGCTGGACAGCAGTACTCTGAAGTCATCCATCTTTACAGAGTTTAATCGGTGGGAAAGTCTGAAATGGTATAACTTGATTCGAAATAACTGAGAAGCGGAGATAAGGAATTATGGGAGGAAGGCCTTGCCATGCCTTGGTAATGGATAAAGCTTGGTTTAGGGTCCTTGGCGCTTCATTACATTTATTCAGAAATTCTGCATCTGTCTGGAATTCTCCACACTAAAGATTTAAAGCAAGAGCCTTAAATAGTAACTGTGCTTTCCTCAGTGCTTCAGCAGCTGGCTCTCGCCCTACTCGGGTGCTGCGGCAGAGAAAGCTTGTCGTTCTGGCCTGGGCTCCCTTGGAGGCTGTGTCTAGGGCTTGATTCGAGGTTTACTTCATCGCCCGGAAGACCGGGTAACCGCAGACTCACACTTAAAAGTCAGAGCTGGCCAACTGAGTGCGATGGGTGGGATGTGCCAGATTACAGCTCCCAAGATGCCACTGCCGCTGACATTCATTTTATAGACTCAAAAGTGTTCCTCCTAGCAGAGGGAATCGAGCCCCATTTACTCAGCGGTTGGCTTATTTCTGTTCACAGCCAGCTCAGACAGCTTCTGTCTCTGGTTTCCTGGTTACCAGTTGCTATGGTGATAGTATTGGGAGAAAGTGGGGGTTGGGGAGGTGGTCGAGAAAACCCTTGGCACAAGAGAAGAAGCCAGCCATGAACACTGTTGCTGTGCCAACAGAGGGCTGCGAAGTTGTTACAGCAGTTGTCTCTTGGGTCTCTTGCTGCATTTCTCATAGCGTGGCAAGCCTTACTGTGGGGAGAGTGGGCGGGTGATGAGCGAGGCATTGGGGTCAGACTTGGCGGTCTTGAGTGCCAGCTTCAGCTGAGACTTGAGGAACGGGATGAGCGAGCCCCCCTCCCCCAGCTGTTTTGGGATGTTGTGGTAGGTGTGGTTGAGTGCCCAGTAAAGGCTAGCCTTGTGCTGAATTAACTGGGTGCAGAAAGGAACTGTTATGTAAAATAAATGTCTGATTATGTCCCATGTATGCTGATATTCATGGGATTGTGGAGAGCAGTGCCCAGCTCTCAAGTAATATAATGGCACCTTTTTATTTTACAGGGTTCTAAAGTCCAGATCTTGAGTTTAATAATGGCAGGAAAATCATCACTTTTTAAAGTAATTCTCCTTGGCGATGGTGGAGTTGGGAAGAGTTCTCTTATGAACAGATATGTGACTAACAAGTTTGATACCCAGCTCTTCCACACAATAGGTGTGGAATTTTTAAATAAAGATCTGGAGGTGGATGGACACTTTGTCACCATGCAGATTTGGGACACTGCTGGTCAGGAGCGATTCAAAAGCCTGCGGACACCGTTTTACAGAGGCTCTGACTGTTGCCTGCTTACTTTTAGTGTCGATGATTCTCAAAGCTTCCAGAACTTAGCTAACTGGAAGAAAGAATTCATATATTATGCAGATGTGAAAGAGCCTGAAAGCTTCCCTTTTGTGATTCTGGGGAACAAGATCGACATAAGTGAACGGCAGGTGTCTACAGAAGAAGCCCAAGCGTGGTGCAGGGAAAACGGCGACTACCCTTACTTCGAAACAAGCGCGAAAGATGCCACCAATGTCGCCGCGGCCTTTGAGGAAGCAGTTCGGAGAGTGCTTGCTAGTGAGGATAGGTCAGATCACTTGATTCAGACTGACACGGTCAGTCTTCACCGCAAGCCCAAGCCTAGTTCCTCTTGCTGTTGACTGCGATGCAGGTTGCCTGTGCCGCACACCCTAAGCGCCTCCCAGTGCGCAGATGTGGCGGGCTGGAAGGGAGGGATTAGCATTCGCAGCAAGGGGTCATCTACTCACAAAGTGAAACTAACCTTCTGCTGCTTCCTGAGTGGGTGAGCGCAGGGACACAGCCACTCAGGAAGGATCTGTCTGCTCAGTCAGGGCCTTACATGCTTACATCGGAACGGTTGTCTAATGTTTAATTTAAACTTCTAAGTTACAGAGCTAGCAAATGAGATGACCCAGACCTTAATTACAATTAAAACACTTGAATAGTCTAGAAGTTAATTGGGTTTTTTTTTCCTGGGAAAAATGGAGAACTTTTTATATGTGTATTTTTATGTAACTAGCAGTCTATTGGTTCAGGGCAAGACTTTCCTAAAGCAATAATGTTAGGTATTAAAATTAAAGTCTAATGCATTTGAACTGCAGTTGTTTCCTTTTTCATTCTCTTTAAATCACTTAACTGTTCATATTTTCATTCAGCGTATTAGTGCACTTCATCCTGCTCAGCTGCCTCTCCCCCCCCACCTTGGAGGAGAAACAGAGTTTCCTTGGGGGGTAATGAAGGCGCCTTTATTTGGTCATGTAATCATGTGTAGTGGTATCCTCTAGAGATTTTTGTTCTAAAATGGAGGCTCGCGACGACACGTCATAAAGCAGACTGGCCACAACGTGTGCTGTGCGTGCTGCGCCATGGACGCCGGCCCTCGGCAGAGCACGGTGGGCTCTCAGAAGCCACATGGCAAGGTGCAGTGGTGGGGTGCATTTAACAAAACTAGATGGACGTGTTTCTCTCCCTGGCCCACCTATGGGGAAGTGCTGAAAAAGACCAAGCTTTTGAAAATGGAATTTCCGGACAGTTTTGCCGTAAGCAAAACATTTTAAATTGGAGTAATGATGCCAGTTCATATTCTAATGTTAGAGTTGTAGTTTTTATTAGTTACGGTCATATTTTTTTCCCCCCACAACACAAATCCATCCAAAAACCAAGATCCACCGTGAGCAAATTGATGCATATTTTCTTTTGTTCATGAGGGGACTTGCCCTAGGGACACTCCTTTGATAAAGCAGAAGGACCCATCATTTTGGGAATTGCCCTTTCCATAGACCTGGGCACATCTCCACCATAGGACATCTCCATCATTAGCTATAGGGTGTTAACGGTCGGTTGTTCTCTGGCTACACATCCGTCAGTAATACATGAAAGTGCCCACACAGTGGGAATTAGGAGTAATTGCTTTTGAATAGGAAATAGTCACCTGAGTCCAAATCATAAGGCAAACGGGGCACATCTCTACCCCTGCCGCCAGCTCTTGTTCCTGCAGGCAGCCATGGTCAGATTCCTGGAAGCCTTGGGGCACTACCCTAGGGCAGCCATACAGAATGCAGACAGGAGCTTTCCTCAGCGTCTGCGGGCGTCCCTTGTCGGCTTCATGGCAGTTACCCGTTTTCTTCTGCCCTCCCACCATTAGCATCAAGGACCGACACCTGTGGTCCTGTGCGCATGCCTGATGATGGACACCTGGTGTATGGCATGGGCGCACGCGTGTGGGCCCACCAGAGCCTGGAGGCTGAGGGTATGAGCGCTGCGGGGCACAGGGCGGCAGGGGGCCATGTGGAGCCCGCTTCCTACCGGGGCAGGGGCCAGGCCCCAGTGCTGCCCCTGGCCACCCTCTGGCTGTCGCTGACCTGACTGGTCCTTGGGCTGCTTCTGGAGGGAGAGCTGTTGAGACGTGCAGGATCAGGAGCTGATCGTGCTCTTTCTACCACTGGCCTCTGGCTAGCACCTACGGCTCTGATTCTGTAACATGGAAGGCTTGCGGCTGTGGGGCAGGTGTGCCTGAAGGCTGACGCCTGGCATGTGGGTGTGCACGCATGCCTAAGTGCACACCTGAGCCTAGAGGTCAGGGCTGTGAGGGTGGCTACGAGAGGAGAGGATGAGTGGCTGCAGAAGAGATGAGACCCAAGACGACTCCAAGGAGCCCAGAGAGTAAAGGTTTGTGGGGGGCTGGGAGGCTCAGTTGCCCCGCTTGTGCCTGCCACCTCATACACCAGCCTCCCTGCCTGGGCAGAAGGGGAAGAGCAGTGACTGAATGCTTGTTGCCTCTTCACCCTTGTGAAAAGTTCCTCAGTTGAGGTTAAAACATCCCAGCTGTTCCTTGCCTTAAACCCCCACATTTCAATTCTCTCTGCAAGCTGTAAGCTTTCATGGCAACGTCAGACACCAGCATGCCAGGCATGACAGGAAGCCGTCGGTAGCAAGGGCCCAGCGTGCTGGCAGGAGACTGAGGCGTCAGCACTCTGCAGTGGCAACACTGCCTGCCGCCCTCTGACGTCTTGCTGCTGCTCTTGGCTGGCCCAAACCCCAGCAGCTGCATGAGCGGTGCTGTTGGCTGCAGCCACTATGGGGGTTCAGGTAAGTATCTTTTTTCTTAAGACCTTATTTTTGTGTAGAACTGGGGTACAGAGGTGCAAGGGTAGAGGGGAGGAGCAGGCTGACTGAAATTCACTGCTGAGGGGGGCAGTGGGGAGACGGGAGGTCTGCGCGCCCTGTGGGTCACTCCCTGGCCAGGGATCGCACTAGCACTGCAGCAGGAGTAGCGCTAAGACTCAACCCCAAGGCTACCCCAGGTGAGTATCTTTTTCTGCTTCCACAGCTCTGGCACCTAGTTGGAGGCAGTCGGGGCTCTGAAGTGGGTTCAAATCTCCCTTAATCTGTAGACTTTCAAAAGAGGAAGTCAAATAAAAACTGGTGATGGCAGCGTAGGCTGTACTTGAAAAAGATATTAAGCTACCACAACCTTGGATAAATATCTTTATTTAACAAATCAAATAAATAGAAGCAGTGAAAAAAATCAGGATAGTCACTTCATACAAGGATACAAGAAGAAACTTAGAGGAATTACTTGCTGAATTCATTCAGAAGGAAACAAAATTCTTAAGCGCAAAAGATATCTGATAATCTTGTTTTTCAATGGATAATGATGATTTTACTGTAAGACCCCACATTTGTTTCAGAACCAAAGACCTGTCACCTCTGGTGTGCAGTGCAAGAGGCCACAGTGCAACTGTTGATGTCCTGTAAGCTTTTAAAGGTCACAGTTCTGAGACTGCTCCCCAGCCCTTCACAGCAGAGGCCCACAGGCCGTTCACGTCGCTCTTACTGCACAAGGGAAGGAACTGTCTAGAAGAGCATGAGGCGGCACTTCGGCCCTGCCTCCTAGCATACAGACGACTCAGCTTCGACTGCAGGCCCACGGCCCCCGTCTGACGGGCATGTGGCGCTGGGCACTGCAGGAGGCAGTTCTGGCCTCGTGGGCACTGCCGTGCCCGCCGCCCGAGCTCCTCCAACGGCACCTCTAAGTGGACGGGAATCCGCGCCCGAGCTCGCAACTTTATTCCCTACGGCAGGCGCTTTAGCTTGCAGTCTGCTGCTAAATCTTGTCAATGGCATTTAGTTCTGGACAGTTAGATCAAGATCGAGCTATTTAAAGGTAGAAAGGCAAAGCTTATTTTCAAGTTTCAAAATATATTTTGACATTGTTGGTAAAGAACTATAAACACTATTCAGAAGTGAATACTGATCAGTTGATAATCGTAAGAAACTGAACTTGTTTTTTAAATACAAAAGGCGTTACATTAGGTTTAGATTAAATTGAGATCACAATAACTTTTCTAGGCTGTTTAATAAAGTTACTTACAATGTCACATGCCTGAGTATAACCCTTGCAGTGGCGTAATTTCTGAATTTTTCTATGTTCAGCTTAAAAGATGTTTCTTCCCAAGAAACTGAACTTTTCTGTCAAATGCACTTGATCGAATAGGAGAATTGGGTTCATAAAATGGATTCATTGCAAACTAGGAGAGAAGAAGAAATCAGTGAGCTTGTCAAAGTAAAAAAGACTGACACATCATAGGTCTCTAAGAGGAATCTAAAGCTTTAAAGTAAAAGAAACCAATAACATTCAAAACGAAGCCTGGACCACACTTTGAAGTTTCAGTAAGCACATCCCACTGTTCAGTACTGACGTCCCTTTCAGGACAGAGCCTTGGTATTTTAGCTCGGGGAAGCACCCGTGGCTGAACCAGCAGTGGCGTGACAGGTGTTCCTTGTGTAGGTCAGATGCCCTTTCGGGGTCCACCCTGGGTGAAATACTAGTCTATACATTATAAACATGGATTCATCTGCAGGGCCCTTTGGCTACATAAAACAAACAAAAACTGCTCAGAGTAAAGAAAAAATTATACCCCACTGCTATTCAATGTTGCTCTTGTGATTTTTTAACATTCAGGTTTCTAAAACTGGCTTTAACATAACAAAAGACTAAGGAAATCATTAATGAGGAAAGGAGTACCGGCTTTTATACCTGACACACTTGGTGCTGACCATCTTCACAAGGCTAAAAATTCTTACTTGCTATTTCTGACAAGGCATATTGGTTGTTCACTGATCTGATATGAAAGAAATCACGCCCCCATCAGGCCACTTAAAGTAAGACACTCTGTAAGACACGCACTGCAGTCTAACACAGATATCCTGTCACTGGGTTTCCAACAAAGGGTTGGCCCATTCTCTCCTGCCAGTTTATCATCCATTGTGACTGCATTTTAACTTGTAAGGCAGATGGGGAACATTTTAGGTTAAAAGTATGAAGCAATTTCCCTCCCATCGAATGCTTGCTTAGTCTCCTAATAGCGCGCGTGTATCCCCAAAGAGGGGCGAATGAAACCCACTTAAAAATAACTGCCCTGAGTTTTCTCCTAAGTGCAACTTGGCTGGAGGTGGGGCTTGCCTGTTGAGGGGTGGCCAGCAGATCTCTGAGAGAAAAACGGGTATAAGAGAGCGATCTCTATAGGTCAGGTTCCTTTTGAAGTTAGAATCCCTTTTCTATATGAAATCAAATTTTGAAGGGTAGAGAAAATACCGTACCTTTATGTATAAGTCATAGACATCAGTGAAGAAATTCTTTATTCCATCTTCTTGCCGAATGTCGTGGAGCATAATGAATCTCATATGTGGAAGAATTAAGGTGCGATCTTTCTTAGAAATGAAAACCAAAAGGCAATCACTAGATACAATACTCTATAAACTGGTCACAAGCAGTGTATTTTGTGACAGAAAAGTTGAATGCAAAAACTGGGCTTAAAGGTAGGTTAGTTTTAGAGAATCCTGGTAGGTTAGAAAATTAGTATAAAATAAGATCACCCTTGGTATTACCGAGTCAGATAACCCTTAGTTTTATAGAAGAGGCTTGGTTTTAAAAAGATTGGTTAAAATGCTCCCCCCGCCCCCCCAAAAAAAACCCACCACAGCAGCAGCCCAGTATTTGACAAGTTTTACCTGCCGCTGAAGTGCAGACCCAGGGCCTGGCAGCTCTGGCCCGTGCTGTCCGACTCGCCACCCCCCTTTAGCGAGGGACCCAGGGAAAAGGCAAAGGATATGGCCTGCAGTGACAAACGCCGAGACAAACCACTCATTAAATTTGTCCACAGTTTTCAAGTACATGTTGTTTGACAGCCACATGTTCTCGTCGACGAGGTCGAGGGCTGCGTGAGCTATGAACTGGTTCAGATGGCGGTGGTCATCCTAGAGGACAGCGGGGGCAGCAGGTCAGCATCACTGTGCAGCCTGAGAGGCCAGCACTGCCCGCTCCTCTGCCCCGAGACCCTTGCCGGGAGACGCAGCACCCTGCTTCCGTGCAGGATGGTCACTAGGCTGAGAGAAGCTCTCCCGCCTGTTCCTTCCATCTTTAACTTAGTATCTAAAACCCAGCAAATAGGAAGGAGTGGAACAAAATGTGCTCAAGAAAGTGATGATTATTTTCTCAAAGTTGCAAGGAGGAGCTACCAAGTTGCTAACCACTTTAACAAGTGACGAAAGATACTATGTAAAAAGAGAAAGCCTCATCGGCTGTCCGGGCTCTCAGCCTCACCACAGGACACAAGGAAAGACCTTTGTGCTGATGGGCAGGAGCCAGCCAGTGAGGGAGGCGGGGCAAAGGAGGGGAGGAGTGCAGAGAAGAGGTGCCCTGGGCCTGGGGGGGCCTCCGTGGGCAGCGACACCTGCTGAGTGGCGAGCACTGACGGGACTTCCCCAAGGTTTGGCCCAGCCTCTGGCAGGTGCCCTGGGCCCTGCCGCAGTCCCCGCCCGCAGGAGTCCGTGTCAACAGGGAGCTGGTGGCAAGGGGGTTTGGGGGGCTTTCGTGGGCTGGCATGGCTGAACTAGAGAAGGTGGGAATGTAGCCTCTGCAGTTCCTTCTTTCAAAAATGCCTTTTCCAAAAATACCGTGATGGGGTGAACCGTGTCTCCCTGAAGTGCCCCTGCTGAGGTTCCAAGCCAGGCACCTAGGGCTCGGCCTGACTGGAAAGAAGGCTGCTGCAGATGTGCTAGTTGAGGTGAGATATGAGGGTAGAACGGCCCACTCCACTGTGACTGAGCTCTTCCTGAAGAGGGGGCGTGTGAAGACGGGTTACAATGCTGCGAGCCGCTGACACCTTGCTCTCCACGTCCCGGCCTCCAGAGCTGAGAAGGAATTTCTGTGCTTCTGAGCCACCACGTGTGACTGCGGCCTCTGTCACTCGGTAAGCAGCCGAGCGATGCCTCCCTGCAGAGGACACCGTGTGGGCCTGGGCTGGAGAAGGGCTGCTGCCTGGGAAGCCAATGCACGCGGAGCGTGTTTGCTCCACTCTCGTCACCACAACACAGCCATCTTACTCCTGAGAGAGATGGTGTGTGGTGCCAGGCGCCCTCACTCATGCTCTGAGCACTCTCGGGAGCGCAGAGGAGCACATGCAAGTGCTTGGAGAGGGTGAGCGGTAGCAGAAGGAACAGAGACCACACCACAGGCGAGGTCTTCTTCAGGCACTGCCCTGCCGCCCCAGAGTGCCCAGGCTGCACTGTCCGCCTGCACAACCCAGCAGCCAGCTACAGAGGCCTGGAACCCAGGGGTGGCAGCGGCGGGTCTGTGCACATGCCACACGCAGACAGTGCCTTAAAGCTCTGGCCTTCGTTTCCATGAACTTCTCTCATTATGCAGAAACTTTCCAGTTTGACGGAGTCCCAATTTTTATTTTCCTTGCTGTTGGACAGTAAGGACACTGGGCCAAAAAAAAGACATCCCCGAGGCCAGAGTTGTGGAGTATTTCATCTATGTTTTCTTTTTAATGGATTCTGGCCTTATACCCAAGCTTTACTCCGTCTAGAAGTGACTGCAGAGTAAGGCTGCTAGAGGGGGTGGGGTGGGAGCAAAGTGGGGACACCCATGGTATTTGGTAAAGAGGTGTGGGTGCTCCGGGGCAGCGGGTGTGGTGCTGAGCCTCTGAAGAGGCGTGGGCTTATCCCTGAGTCAGGTAGTGACGTCAGCCAACATTAGCTCACAAAACAAAACGCTTCTTCCTCCGTTGTATGGTCTCAGCAGTCGAAAAGCAGCACACACTGGACACTATGCTTCCATTAATCTGGAAAATCCATTCCTGCCTTAAGGTCACTCCAGCTTATTTTGGCGGTTTTAGCCTAATTGTCACCAGTGTGTGATGGAAGGGACCCAGCTAGTCTCATCGCCACTGCTCGGTGCATGCTGAATTGCCACATATGTTTGAACTGAGCTTGTTTTTCCAGACCGGGTTGACAACAAGCTGGGTGGAGTCATGGGGGAGAGCACTGGCACCACCCAGCCTGGAGCGCAGCGCAGGTCACGTGGCGAGAGCAACACGGGAGCATCCCTGCCTGCGTCCCAGGGAAACGCGACTCACTGGGACAGAATGGGCAGTCCTGGCATTTCAGGCAGGGCCGCTCTGGTGGGCTGCATGTGCACGAGTGAGGAGCAGCATTCAGAGCAGAGGACCAGGGAAAAGGACCTGGTGAGGCCAGGTGTGGCTGAGCTACAGGAAGAGGGACAGCCCAGGGCCTCCCCAGCTGGCATCTACCAGCCTGGGGGCTGCAGAGCAAGCCTCATCGTCTCATTCTGGTAGGTTCCAGTTCCTTTATTCATCTGGGCCTTACCGACCTCAAACTGTCACCCCCCCCCCAGCATTGCAACAGCAAAACAATTCTTACGGGGTCTTTTTGCGGGCTGATACGTACTTTGGATTCTGCTTTTCCTGCTGGCAAAAACTCCATTTCGAAAACTGGGTTATCATGGTGGCCAACTATTACGAAGTAGTAGCTTCCAGACATTGTCTTCGATACAGAGTTCCTAATTAAGGGAAGAGAGAGGGCATTTTTAGTACTCGGTGCTGAAAAACCAAGAGTGGTTAACAGGTGTCTCGAGTTGAGTGTTCTACTTAAACCTGCTGCCGTGAAGGCCGCTGGGGCCGGCTGGCTTCCTGGGGCACCAGTGTGTCCCTGGAGTGTGCCACTGGATGCGACGTGCTCCCTTTCGTGGGGAGACTGGGGGAGAAGGCCAGAGCCGGCAGCAGTTCTTAAGAGCAAGTGGGGAGGAGGGACGGGCACCTGCGATGTGAAGTCGGGGAGGATGTCGTTCATTCCTGCCGGGATGCGCCTCCCAGCTGCAGCTTGCCGAGGGGAGGGCTTACTGCCTTCCGCTTACACGTTTGGGGGACAGTGGCAGGAAATGTACCTACAGTGTGGGGGACGCTTCCCCTATGCCCACTATGCCCCTATGCTGCTGAAGAGGCAGCCGGAGACCAGATAACGCCCAACACACTCACCCTCTGAGGAAACCTGCCCTGGGAGAGGGCACGGCACTCACGAGCACGAGGACTCAGGGAGGGGGGCCGGGAGGGAGAGGCCGTCACCAACTCCCAGCTGAGCAGAGTGTGGGTGTCAACAAGGTGACAGGCCACAGCTGAGGGAGATGGGAAGGAGATTGGACGGGCAGGGTGCCAGTAAAGGAAAGCTGGGCCCATAAGCACGTTGCGTCAGGAGGGACCATCTCTGCTCACTGGTCCGGGGTCACAGCCTGGTAGCAGGCAATGGTGAGGCACATTCTGGTATTCTGTGCTAGCGAGAAGCCAAACTTTCCATGGGGACGGACATGTTCTCTGCCTGTGCTGTCCCAGCCGCCAGTGGCCACTGAGCATCTGAAACGTGGCTCGTGTCTGCAGAAGTGGCCTTTCATTTTCATTTCACTGTAAAGCGTGAACAGCCACGTGTGGTGAGTGGCCGCTGTCTGGGCAGCGTGGCTCTAGGCCAGCGATGCTTGAGATGTCTTTGAAGTTCTGCCGCCTCTCCCGCGTCCCTGCACCCACGAGGCCAGCGTTACTAGAACTGCAACTTCACACCAGGAAAGTGGCCGCCGTGAGGGCATCCGCTCTACTCCCCCTTCACCTGACATGGGGGCCCTTCAAGTGTCTCCAAGGAAGGGGAAGCCTAGACACAGAACCTTGCAATGGATTATACCAGAGGACAGAGGAAGAATCGATGTTCCCAGATGTCTGACTCAGGGGATCAGGCAGATAGCAAGATGATGACGCTATTTACTGAGAAAGAAAACAAGAGGCAAAGAGTGGAAGCAGTGGGGTCCTTTCCCTTCCGTGAACTAGCTAGCCAGTGAATTAGCTAGCCAGAGCGGTGCCCAGCAGGGTGCCACGCCCCGCCCCGCAAGAGTGCCTCGTTCAACTCAGCTGCCTGGAGGAGAAGCGCTCAGGTGGGCCCACTGTACGAGGAGAAGCGCTCAGGTGGGCCCACTGTACGAGGAGAAGCGCTCAGG